AGTCTTCCAGTAGAGAGCGCTTGTAGTAAAATTACTACCAACGGTATCTGGATGCAGCTTTTATGATGCAAGCTGAGATTGCATCACTCAGCGATTAAATGTCAGACGCAATACACTCAATAGAGCTAGTGAAGTCATTGTGAGAGGTAGGGTTAGGGTTGGGGTTAGGTGAGCGCATTAAAAAGCATTGGAAGTAGCACAGATTGCACTGCACCAGATCACTATTTTAGGCAACATTGTACTTCAGAAATAGCCACCATCTCATAGTGTATGAAAGTAGATGTCTGATTTGGTTAAAACAAAAAATAAATAAATGAGTGTTTAAACATGGTACTGTATTCTGTCTTTACCTAAATGTTGACATTATGGAGACTTTTGTTTTTTGTCCCTTTTAGGGAAAACGTATTTGGAAAAGTAAAAATGCAAAAAATAAATAATAATAAAATAAATAAATTCAAAGGGGGGCTAATAATTCTGACTTTAATTTATATATATATATATATATATAGAGAGAGAGAGAGAGAGAGAGAGAGAGAGAGAGAGAGAGAGAGAAAGAGAGAGAGAGAGCCATTGTCAACGGTCGGATAAGAGGAGACAGACTCGGGAGATTCACATTCTGCTCACCTCTTGGCAATAGCACAGTAGACTATATGATAACAGATATAGACCCTTCATCTCTCAGAGCATTCACTGTTAGAGAACTCACCCCACTTTCTGACCATAGCCAAATTACTTTATACCTCAAAAATACAATAACAAACCCTTGCACACAGCCCAATAAACTATTTAACATCAGAAAGCCATACAGATGGGCTGAGAACAGTGCAGAAGACTACCAAAATGCAGTAAACAGCCCAAAAACTCAACAAATCCTAGATAACTTCCTGGTTAACGCATATGCCCACACCAAACAAGGAGTTAATGTGGCGGTAAAAGACATAAACAATATATTCGAAAGTACAGCTAAACAGGCAAAATTAAAAGTTAAAACCAGACAAAATAATCCACCCAAAAATGACAAAAACTGGTTTGATCAAGAATGCCTGTCAATTAGGAAACACCTCAGAAACCTGTCAAATCAGAAACACAGAGACCCAAATAATGCAGAGATTCGGCTTCTCTATTGTGAAACACTAAAACAATACAAACAAACACTCAGAACCAAAAAGGCACAATACACCCAAAAACAACTGACAACAATAGAGAACTCCATTAACTCAAATCAATTCTGGGACAACTGGAAAAACTTGATCAAAAACGATCATGAAGAGCTACCGATCCAAAATTCAGAAATATGGGAGACCCATTTCCAAACACTATTCAATAAAGTAGAAACAGACACAAATCCTAAACAAAATCAAATAACAAAAACACTGTCAACACTAGAATCGACTATCAAGGATAATCAAAACCCAATAGACTTCCCCATCACTATAATGGAGCTTAAAGACAAAATTAAATCTGTTCAACCTAAAAAAGCATCTGGACCTGACGGAATATTAAACGAAATGATAAAACAAACCAGCCCTAAATTTCAATCAGCCATCCTAAAATTATTTAATCTAGTTGTGAATTTTGGTCGCTTCCCTGATATCTGGAATCAAGGACTGATAACACCCATCTTTAAAAATGGAGATAAATTTGACCACAATAATTACAGAGGGATTTGTGTGAGCAGCAACCTGGGAAAGTTATTCTGTAGTTTAATAAATGCCCGAGTACTGGACTTCATCACGACACATAATGTCTTAAGCAGAAGTCAAATTGGATTTTTACCAAAATACCGCACATCTGACCACATTTACACACTGCACTCGCTAATTGAAAAACACACTGTCCAAAATAAAGGTAAAATATACGCATGCTTCATTGACTTTAAAAAAGCTTTCGACTCAATTTGGCACCAAGGCTTACTTTATAAGCTGATTGAAAGTGGCATAGGAGGAAAAACATATGACCTTATTAAATCAATGTACACCGAAAGCAAATGTGGCATCAAAATTAGCACAAAAAGAACAAAATATCTTTCCCAGAAGCGTGGAGTGAGACAAGGCTGCTGCCTGAGCCCAACACTATTCAACATCTACATAAACGAGCTGGCGCTCAGTCTGGAGCGATCCACCGCTCCGGGTCTCGATCTCCACGACTCTCAGATCAAATGCCTGCTTTACGCAGACGACCTGCTGCTACTATCGCCAACCAAACAGGGCCTACAGCAGAACCTGCAGTTGCTGGACCAGTACTGCCAGACCTGGGCCCTGACCGTCAACCTAAACAAAACCAAAATCATCACCTTCCAAAAAAGAGCCAGACCCCAGGGAACACAACACGCATTCACACTAGGTACCAATCAGATAACACACACAACACAGTATAATTATTTAGGCCTGAACATCACCTCCACTGGAAACTTTAATCCTGCAGTGAATGAGCTGAGAGATAAAGCCCGCAGAGCCTTCTACGCCATCAAACGCCAATGCCCCATAGACATCCCTGTTCAGATCTGGCTGAAGATCCTAGAGTCCGTCATCAAGCCCATCGCCCTCTACGGCAAGGAGGTGTGGGGCCCACTGACAAACCCAGAACAAGATCTGGCCAAATGGGACAAACACCCAATAGAAACCCTGCACACAGAGCTGTGTAAGAACATCCTACACGTCCACCGGCACACAACAAACAACGGATGCAGAGCAGAATTAGGCAAATACCCTCTGATAATAAAGATACAGAAAAGAGCTGTCAAATTCTGGAAGCACTTAAAACTCAGCGACCCGGACTCATACCACTATAAAGCCCTGCAGGACAGAGAACTCAGCAGAAGAGCAGACCCACTCTCCCAGCTGGCCCAGAGCTTCAGGGTCTCTGAGACGTCTCCTGAGGAGCTGAACACACTCCTGCCACTGACTCAGATCACACACCAGATCAAGAACAGCTACACACACCACTGGGACACTCAAACACAACTGCAAAGCAAAATGCAGTGTTATCTGGCCCTGAAGAGACAATATACTCTGGCAGACTACCTTCACACAGTGACAGATAAAGGTCTGAGAAACACCCTGAGCAGATACAGACTCAGCGGACACCAGCTGGCTATAGAGACGGGCCGGCACAGACAAACATGGCTGCCGGTGGAGGAGCGGCTGTGCCCACACTGCCCTCAGCAGCCGATTGAAACAGAACTGCACTTCCTTACGGAGTGCACAAAATACTCAGAGATCCGGAAGAAGTTCTACCCGAAACTCACACACACACACAAAAACTTTGAGTCCCTGTCAAACAATGAGAAACTGCCCATCCTACTGGGGGAGTGTGTGTGCTGCTGTGTGTTAGCAGCTCAGTTTGTGCACTCCTGCCACCGTCTGAGGAACCCACAATGATCCGCTCCACTCTCTCCAACACACAACACAGGAACTCTTTACTCGTGGAATTACTGTTTATATTATTGTCACCACTTTTATCCTGTTTCACAAATTACCATTAATCTATTTTTATTTTTATTAATATTTTTAGTTTTACTGATATATTGTTATTTTTATTAATCTATTTTTATTTTTTTACATTTCTTTTCTTTATTTCTATATTATATTTTATGTTCATATTTGTTTGCACTACTGCCCTTTTTGCACTGTCTTGTCTGTACGCAGCGACGCTGCACTGCTTTGGCAATACGAATGTACAGCTATTTGTCATGCCAATAAAGCACCTAAAATGTGAAAATGTGAAAATGAGAGAGAGAGAGAGAGAGAGAGAGAGAGAGAGAGAGAAAGACTGATGGGGGAATTCTCTCAATTACATGATGTATTGTTATGTGTTTAAATAAAACATTTTTGCTTTGTTAATTTTTTTTATTCATTCATTTTATTTGTGGCTTAGTCCCTTTTTTAATCAGGGGATGTCACCGCGGAATGAACCGCCAAATTATCCAGCATATGTTTCACGCAGCAGATGCCCTTCCACCAGCAACCCATCTCTGGGAAACACGCATACACACTTATCCACGAACACTATGTTCATTTTAGCTTACCGCATGTTTTTGGACTAGTTGGGGAAACAGGGAACAGGGAAACAGGAACACCCGGAGGAAACCCACGCAAACACGGGGAGAACATGCAAACTCCACACAGAAATGCCATTTGACCCAGCCGAGGCTTGAAACAGCAACCTTCTTGCTGTGAGGCGACAGTGCTACCCACTGCGCCGCCCCAAACACTTTTTGTTTTTTTATTTTAAAAAAATATAATAAAGAGTTAAACAAAAGGTCAAAATAACAGAAAATTTAGTTTTAGGTTTGAATTATATTGTTTAATCTTTATTTTTATTTGTGTTAAGTTTGAAGAGTTTGACTTTTTGCACTGATGTCATTTTGTGGTTATACAATAGTTTCTGAAACAGCCACGGTTTCAACATGCTTTCAGTCTACCCATAATAATAGTTGTATGTTTCTGTAAATAGATGTCTATTTGGACAAAAACCCTCGTGAAAAAAAATTGCATTGATGTACTGAGCATGCAGAAACATCTTTAAAAAGCATTGACTGAACGATGATATCAATATATTTTATACAACAATTACATAATTCATTTAAAATGGATATTTGAATGACCATTACTTCAGTATGTCTGCATGCTGTATTTTCCCTTTTGCTTCAGGGAAGCATCAGTTACCAGCAGATGGCGATAAAACACAACATTGTAAAAAATTATAGACGATCCATTAGTCCTGACTGCATGTTTTTAGGTCATGGGAACTTATTTAACAAAGTTAATCATGTTTTCAGTTAATTTAATAAGTTATGCAAGCTGTTTTAAGTCAGTTTAACATAATATAAGTTCAAATGACTGGTTAAATTGAATCAGCTAAAAAATTTTAAGGTAACCAGGATTTCTTAGTGAATGAACTCATTTGAAATCATGGCTTTATGATTGTATGATAATTTTTTTATAAAGCATTTGTGGCAATATGATTAGCAGGGCATAAAATGAGACAAGTTCACATTTGCAACAAACTAGTACATTTTATTCAGCATTCAGTATAAACATTTAATACAAATGTTCACAATGTATCAAAATAAGGCAACGTATTAGAAAATTAGGCTTAGCTACATAAGGAAATCTATACTGCATATATTTCTTTTAAACAATGACTTGAAAAGAACTTTCCAGTGGTGATCTTATGAAAGGACCTGTGAAAAGAAACAATTATTTTCACAGCATATGATTATTAATTAGTATGATTATTGCTGGTAAATATCTATGTCTGTTTCAACACTAGCAAAAAAAGACACCTCAGTTACTCAAAATATCTGACATTCTGTCTGATTTAGCCAACAGTATTTCCAGACACAGTAGGGCTGAGCTGAGCAGGCATCTGCAGATGAAAAAGTCAGAATTATATTATAAAATACTTTTCATTGTACATCATCAAGATTTAAAATTATGTTTCCTGCTCACCTGGGTGACTGAGACAGGTGGTCTTGCTGTGGTCCTTCTGATAAATGATCGCTGAGGAGAAAGAAGAAAAGGAGGAAGGATTTAAGATGGCAAATAGATGGAATTTTGCTGTCAAATAGCTACCAAATACATCTTCGAAATTATCTATGTTAAAATAATGAGCCAAATGTATTCATAGAAGTTATTTTGAGTAAATCTTTTTATCACATTTATTGTTCATAAATAAAACAAATATATAGCTGGTAAATTATATAGGCCTATTGACCATAAAACATTCAGAATATACATTTTGATGAGGATTTCAAGTTATACGAACAAAAGTTTTGAGGAGAAAAAAAATGAATTTCAGGAAAACACTTTTAACGTGTTTTAAATAGCCTATATGTAATAATAATATTAATAGATTTTTTAATACATATGCAATACAATTAAAATAAATAGCACTTTTTACTATACACTATAACTTATATAACATAAAACTGCATCACAAAAGATACCTTAAATCTTCCCAGTGAGCCTTGTGGCAACCCAACGGCTTGATTATTTCCAGCAGGTCCTTGTCCAGCCTAAATAAATAACAAATAAGCTTAATGAACACATTTGTAGTCTATTTTTATTATGGAAACTAGACGATTGGTTTTGTACCGCAACTTGTTGCTGAGGAGGAATTACGGCAGGTTGATTAGGAAGTCCAGCCACGAAATACGGCAAGCCCTGTTTATTAAAACAAAGTAAAATTACTACCTCGTAGTAGACAAGACACAAGTATTATTTCAAACATAACAAGTGAAAACTGTATTGTACCCCATTAGCGGGAGGGAAGGGGTAAGGCAGAGCTCCAGCGTTAGGAAGGCCGAAGGGAGCTGGTGCCACTGGAGGCTGAAGCACATATGGAGGAAGAGCAGCCGCGGGAAGAAACTGGTGGACATGGAGGTAATTAAATAAACTGCACACTGTGCGCAGGACAGCGGGACATGACTAAGTGGTTGTTAATCGTTCATTCATACAGTACCTGTGGAATAGGAGGCTGTCCTATAACCGCAGCACCTCCAGCAACCACTGGTGGGTTCAGACCACCCAGCAGCAGAGGGTTCACTCCATTTACACCAGTAAGCAGACCACCATTCAGACCGTTGACCACAAGAAGCTTCTGTAATAAGCATCAAGGGGGGGAAAACTTAAATCAGTATTAAATAGAAGTTTGAAAATAGTGCTTTCTTCCCTGATGATATCTGACTGAAATCATCGTTTTGTTTTGTTTTTGTCACCAGAACGTTCAAGGTTCGGTAGCAAGCTTTCTTTACGTAAACAGAACGTTCCCTCTAGGTTAGGAGAACATTCCCAGAAAGTTCTTTTTACGTTGTTTTGAAAAATTATCCAGAAGGAGTTTACAGAGAACAGTTGCCAGATTGCCAAAAAATAACCAAATGGGAGCCATATAAGAGTGTTTTATTAATATTTATATTATTTTTGCAGGAACTACTTCTCGAAAAAAGAAAAAAGGGACGGAAGGACTTAAAGGGATAGTTCACCCAAACTATCCCTATCCATTCTGTTATTATTTTTCTCTCCCTCTACTTGTTTCCAAACTGATTTTTGCTGGTTGAACTAGTGCAATCACAGGACAGTTTATTTCTTCATGAATTACGGGCTAGGCTAATTCGTACAATCTCATTTATACATTTTTATACGATTTGCCCAACCTCCAATCAGGGTGAGGTTAGGACTGAGGTTTGGGGAAATGCGAACTGACCAAGCAAGGGCTCGAACCAGTGACCTTGCTGTGAGGCGATTGTGCTACCCACTGCGCCACCGTGACACACACACAGTTTCAAATGAATTTTAAAAATGTAAGAAATTGTATAAATTAGCCACTTGTCTGATAATATGTTAAACAGTTATGTTTCCTTGTGAGATTGGGCTGATTGAACACAAAAGAAGATATTCTGAATTTCCTACTATATAAGCCACAGGTGTCAAACTCAGTTCCAAAAGGGCCGCAGCTCTGCACAGTTTAGTTACAACCGTAATTAAACACACCTGATCAAACTAATTGAGTCCTTCAGGCTTGTTTGAAACCTACAGGTAAGTGTGTTGGAGCAGGGTTGGAACTAAACTGTGCAGGCCTTCGGCCCTCCAGGAATTGACTTTGACACCCCTGATATAAGCCAATGGTTACAGTTATTTAGCTTTCGTCAAAATATAGTTTTATATGTTCAACAGAATAAAGAAACTCATAAAGCTTTAAAACTCCTTGAAGATGAGTAAATAGTGAGTATTTATATTTTTTGATAAACTATCCCTTCAATGTTGTCAGATGAAAATTGATTTTATCGCCAGATTGCTATTGGTCGAGTTCATCATGACAGGTTGTCTTGGCAACTTATAAGACAGGTATATATTATTATTTTAGGTCAAATGAATAAAGAATATTATAAATCAAATACAATTATAAATTGGCTGGCGAATTCATTCATACTTACAAATAAATATTCTAAGTTACAAATTAGAGCGTTCCTACAACATAAATGAACTTACCTTTGCTGAAGTGGCCTAAAAAGAAAAAAAATAAATTGATTAATGCATAAGTGGGTGAAAAAAATTAAATTTGGATAAAATGAACAGATTACATTGAATCAGTGTACTCACATGAGCAGTAATGCTTAGTACCATAAAGATTGTAACAAAGTTCTTCATTGTGCAATCTAAAAAAATACAATTCAATATATTAGATTTTAGACATTCATGTTGCCTATACATGCTGTTTCAGAAGTGAAATGTTGTCAGCACCTACCTGTTTCTCACTCCAGAAGTGTACAGTATAGCGAATCCCCAAGGCCTTTTATTGAGACGAATGATCAAGTTCAGCCAATAACAGCTCAACACTAATCCAGCTGTGTTGTGCATCAGCAGGGCATTAGAAAACATTAGTTATGTTACGGTTTTGTTTTTTGGTTATGTTCAGGTTAACCACTGGGATAACTTCAGGCAGAATTTGTGGCTAATTTGAGTTTTTTTAAATGCACACATAAGTCACACAACCTGTACGGACACATGAAAACAGAAATGTGGTCTTGGCCTATATGAAAACATGGTTGTGTTATAATCTCCTGGTCTGAATGTCTTAGGTCTTAGATCATTTGCGTTGTCATATAGTCAACAAACGTCAGACCTATAGAGCATGATGTCATAAAAGTGGTCAAAACTGAAAACCTGTCAGATGACATTGATTGGGATGTTTTTAGATAGGGGTTTGACGATTTAACAATAAAATTTGTGTTTGAATATATAGGTTGCTTTGATAGATATAGATTTAAAACTGTGGAAATCACAACATGAAACATATTGGTTTGGAGATTAAATATGTTTATGTAATACACTCATTCTCACATATTTTTACATTTAACCTAAATTTGAGAATATTTGGAAAAAGTAAACTGAGTTGGTGGGTAATCATGTAATATGTAAAACTGTTGGTTAATGTAATCGCAAAAGCTCATAACAGCACAGATTGTTTTGTCATTGTACAGAAAGCTCATAAATGTTTGGTAGACTTGATAAATTATTCAGAAAATGTTGCTTATAAAATACACAGACATTCAAGAGGTAATTTTAAAACATTTTATTAAGATACAATTAAATTGTCTCCCTCTAATAGGTTGCAATTAATCTAAAAACAAAAGTACAAAGAGCTTATAAAAAGTACAAACAAATTAAAAAAGTTTTAGAATAACAAGAAAAAGTGCATAGTAATGCTTAAACAGAATCAGCAGTAGAGCACACAGGTTCCAGCTTGGGAGAACATGACATCATTTGAGAGATGGCTTCATTATGGTGAGAATAACAATTGTGCAGCCTCACCATGTCTCAATTAATACAAATGTCATGTAAACCTTATGAAAAGGACCAATTTGAAGTTGTATAAACACAGAAACTGGTGTGATTCCGTCTATTTGTTTGGTTTCTGTGCGGATTTGCGAATTGAATACTGTTACACATTTGGCCGACTTACATTGCATTGTATCAGTGGTCTAACTAAGGATATATAATGATAAATAGCATATAATTATACCAAATTGTGCATACCTGAGCTCTGGAGGTAAATAAGTACAGTCCATTTGTGTTTCACATATTGTATTATTTATTGGCTCGGATTTGCATATTCTTCCATAAGTACCCTAAAAACTAATGCTATCCAGGGGCGTCATTATTGGGGGAGTAAAGGGTGACAGATTGCATATGGCCTTGAGCCAGACCATATTCGGGCAGTACCTCCCCTCCCCCATACTCTTCAATTTTTTGAATACTGGCCATTTATTCACAGCAGCAAAATGTGATTGTCAGTTCACCGTTTAGATGTTATTTGCATTAGTGTGGACAAAGAGGTCAGTTTACAAAAGTGACATGACATTCTAAAACCAAAATAAAATTGTACCCCCACCACCCCCCAAAAAAATTAAATTAGTAAACTTAATTTGTTAAATTCTGTGCAGTGACAATCAAACAACGGATTGATGTAATTTGTTAGTTGGCACATTGCAGGACAATAATAGCAAAATACAAAAAAAGTAGTTGCCAATGATAAAGGTAAATATGTATTACAAACTAATGTATGTAAGGTGCAAAGAATCATATGGCATGAAGGACAAGTCTAAAATAATGAGTTGCCCGATTTAACTAAAACAGTATAAATATAACACTACAAAACTAATGAAATAAATATTGCAGCCTATTCTTTGAGGTTTCAGCTCAAACAAACTTAATGATCCACATAAGTAAGACTGGCAACACTGCATTTATGAAAAGCTTATTAATAATAGAGGGAAAGCAGTGCATCAAAGCTTAACAAGAAAAAGTGCAGAAATCCTATGAAATGTAAACAGAAATAAACACTACTTATAACATAACAAAAATCAGAAAAAAGAGGTATAAATCATGATTCATTCAAGTCTTTGGACTGTGGGGGAAACTGGAGCACCTGGATGAAACCTACGCGAACTCAGGGAGAACATACAAACTCCACACAGAAATGCCAACTGACCCAGCCGGGACTCAAATCAGCGACAGTGCTACCTAGCGAACCACCGTACCACCCATAAAACTGAAATAAATCAACCATTCAATTAATCATTCATTCACTCATTCATTCATTCGCTTTTCGCCTTAGTCCTGTTATTAATCTGGGGTCGCCACAGCGGAATAAACCGCCAATTTATCCAGCATATGTTTTACACAGCAGATGCTCTTCCAGTCGCAACCCATCACTAGGAAACATCCATACACACTCATACACTACGGACAATTAAGCCTACCCAATTCACCTGTACCGCATGTCTTTGGACTGTGGGGGAAACCGGAGGAAACCCACACGAACACAGGGAGAACATGCAAACTCCACACAGAAACGCCAACTCACCCAGCCAAGGCTCGAACCAGTGACCTTCTTGCTGTGAGGCGACAGCACTACCTACTTCGCCACTGCATCACCCATGAATCAACCAAACAAATTGAAATCAAAATATGACCATGACCAATACATCACTATCCACACCTCAAGCCCAAATAACAAGCCCCAAACTGCAAAAATTCTCCATCTCCCGAAAAACTAAAATAGTGACAACAGAATGTATCAGAATTCCATTGAACAAGCACATGTTAATGATGTGTTCAAGTCATATATGTTGCCAGATCTTGCAAACTGAAGTAAATCAGTTTTAATCTAGCTAGAACTATGCCAGCATTCCTCCACCACTTGGCATTCTGCCTGATATGTTAAAATGTTTCACAATATTCAATTAAATTAAATTCATGTTCATTTCTATAGCTCTTTTACAATGTCGATTGTGCCAAATCAGCTTAAAAAATCCTAGTAAAAAAGTTCTAGTGAATTAAAACAATGTCAGTTCAGTTTGGCCACAAAACAACAGCACCTAAGGCAAAGACAAATTCTCAACCTAAACCAAACATGATCCCTCAAGAGACCCTGATAGGTCAATCATTTGCAAACATATTACCAAAGTAATATTATTTTGGCAAAAAAAAAAAAAAATAGTTAACACTATTTGTATTAGGTAATGAAATGTTTCACAGGGGAGTTAGTCAGGACACTCTGTGACTGATAACTTAGGCAAATCGCTCATTCCAGTGTCTATTTGGCCAATAGAATCCTCTTCTTCAGTGTTGTTCAGATTCTTAATAGACATCTCAGGCTCAATCAAGGTTTCCTCTACAGGTGTGTGAGGACGAACTTCACATTGTGAAACTTGTGGGCTGGTCTCTTGCTCTGACACTCTGATGTATGCAGGCTGTCTCAGATCATCCATATTCACAGTAGACTCTCCTAGATTATGATCATCTATCACTGGAGATGTTTGATGAAATTTATACAGGAACAGACCAATGCAACTGAGAATTAAACAAGCCACTACTAACAGACAAACGTGGAAATAGCGGTAGTCTGCAACTGTGGATAACACAAAAAGAAGCATTGTAAATGTTAAAGCTTAAGCAAATATTACACTTCAAACAGATAATCAATTAGGTAAGTTGATTACTATTAGTTTAATTATATCTTACCCTCCACAATGACAGTATGGACAGCAATGACTTCACCAATCTTGTCTTTCACAGTAAATATTCCTTTGTCAGCGGATGTTAGTCCACTCAGCACCAGAGTGTTATTTATGACAGACACTCTGTTAATGTAGTCAGATGAACATTTAGTGCTGTTTCCCATCACAGTGCAAACCTGCTTCTCAGATTCATCAGATCCAATGAAAGAAATAGTCACATCTGAGCTGAACAGGTCAAGAGGGAGATTTTCACCAAACTTTTTTGTCCAGGATATTTCAAGAGCTGAAAAATATTTATTGATTTCAGTTAAAGAAATGTTTCTTTTTCTGTAAAACAAAGTAGCACCGTAAGGGGCCGTTCACACAGAATTTGCTAAAACATGAGAAGCAGCTTTTTTAGGAATGTTTTTTTAAACATCTCCTCCGCCATGTTGCTTTCAAACAAAACAGCTGTCATGCCAACTTGCTAGTGTAAACAGCAGCTCACAATGTCTGCCCCCCGAGTTCTTCTGATTGGTCCACTGCTTTAAAACTGACATTGATGACCAGCACAGCTTTAAAGTTACAATTCTATTAACTCGATGTCTTTTAAAAACACAGTGCTTCAAATAAAGCTCAGATCAGATCACACGATTTTACAAAAGTCGGTTACGAAAGTCACTATGTCAGATTATGTGATTTTGTCTTGATAAAATCTTAATTTGTCGTGGGTAACAAATTTCCTTTTTAATATTAAGATATTTTCTTTTAATTCTGAATTTATATTTTCCAGCCATGAGTTGCTTATTAAACACTCCCCCGTCTAAACTTGCCACGAGTAAAATGGAGAAAATGAAAGCATTTACGTACCAAGAAAAAATCAGATGCTCAAGACAAAATAATGCCATATTTAATTTAAAATAGCAAAATTAAATTAAATTTAAAATAGCAAATATATGATAGAGGTTTCTGATACAACAATCAAAGTAAAGCATTAATTAAATTCATATTTTCCACAGAGCAAAACAAATCATCCACCCGCACAGTTGAGTAGTGGATGGGCACAAACAAAAACATAATTCATTTATTTTTCTTGGAAAAAAAATTTAAACAAATTTTGTTTGGTACAATTTGTATCTTAATTTTAATGTATTTTTTAATGGTCAGTTATCTACTAGATAAACAAGTATAACGAATAACATCTGGGATGAAGAGCTAACAGTCTATATGCTTCAGCACCAAAGCACAAACTGGTTTGTTAAATAAATTATAAATTACATCTAGCCTAAAAGAAATTAAAGTGAAATATTAACATTTTTAGAGAAGCCTATATCAAACTGTTTTAATTTTTAAAGACAAAATCACCTATTGAAGGTGAGTTTCAATTTAATTCGTTTAATCAAGAAATTTGAATAAGCAAGATAGGCTTTAACAATGTATTATCAGCACTGAACATGTTCCCAGATTACCTCGGAAACAAGAACTTGGTTGGAAGGCTGAGAGAACTCAGAAACTCGTTGTGAGAATGAAGACGTCTGCAAATTTGTGCCAGTTTGTCAGATAAAATTGCTTAAAACACTTTCATATTTTAGAGAAAGTAGTAAAAGTTTGCACAACCAATGATTAATCTTATCCACCCACGACCCACCCATGAGTAAATATGCAGCCTATTTTTGATTACCTGACCCATGGATTAACCTGCAGATATAAATGATAAATTATGTGCTCCTATTGCACAGTCACCCACATGACGGAACTTGTCGTGAAAAAAATTAAACATGCTAGACTTCTGCAATGATGTCGTGAGGCGTTACAGACATGGTATCAAGTTGTCATGAACTATGCCACATTACAGAAGAAATGATTGAATTTTGTGTCACGATGCCCATTTGTTGTTTACAACTCGCCACGTCACCATACGTTAAGGTATTGTGCCAAAATCATGTTACAAATTATTGTGATCTTGCCAGGGCTTAATAAGAGGAATGAGCGTAATAGTACAGTGTTCATGTGGGGGACCATCCAGGTGCTCTGGTTTCCCCCACAGTCCACAGGGATGCACTAGGTGAATTGGAACCCCTAATAAATAAGGGACTAAGCTAAAGGAAAATGAATGAATGAGCGTAATGGTCACACACGTAAATCAAGAGCAAACTAGCGAATTAGATTAGAGAAATGCATTCTGTGTGAATGGCCCCTAAAAAATTAAATTCCACAACCTGCAACATGAAGAGTGACAGCACCAGGATGCCCGTGTTCTTCTGAAGGTTTGTGATAGCATTGGTACAGTCCTGCATCTGATCTGCTGGCATTGTGTATTGTAAGGGAAAGCTCGCCATCCTTATAATCTTTTAGTGAAACCGATGCCCTGTCTGTAAATCTTGGACCATATTTTATGATTCCGTTCAGAACTTGTAACACCACTTGGTCATCTTTTTTCCACAGGATATTCACCGTTTCATCAGAAATCTGTTTCTCTGTACGTGCATAGCAGGGTAGCTTGGCCTTGCCTCTGACTGTGGTGTTTATGGTGGTGGGTACTAAAAAAATAAAAGGATGCCAAAAAACAAAGCATGAGATCACAAGTAATTTACACCAAGGATGATTTATATTACAAAAACAATGAAGATAAAGATTATAAATGGTTCTACATTAACAATAAATTTTTATTCCACAAATATAATGATAACAGCACAGATGGATTACATTATTTATTTTCCATTTGATGTACAAAAGGGTCTGACAATTATAAAACTAATGAACTCTTAGAAATAACAGAATGCTATTGTACACTGATGTGGATGTTAATACAGATATAGAGCTATGTAGCTGGTAAATAGCCCCTTTCATATATACAGACCTTTCCAGAATGCTGCGCTGTGTGAACACAGAAGGAAGATCGCCAGAACAGCGAGTTCACATCTAGAACACGCTGACACGAGACGTCTACTTTAGCCAATCAGAACATTCAGACGCATTCACATTCGCGTTGTTTATAAAAATAAGACTTTTCAATATTTTTCCCAGACACATTTAGCTGCTAGATGTTAGTCAGATAACGTTTCTTTGTTCCTTCTTAATGTCAACTGTGTAAGAAATTATTGATAAAATGCTTATGATAAGCCAATGCTTGTTTACTTTTAAACTCTGCTCCAGTTGCTTTACGTGTGTGCACGTAAAGGAGCCGGTGAGCTCCAGCACACACACACATATTATGAACATCTTGACGTGTGTTTCATATAAGTTGTTCACAATACTTATCCATCCACTTGTGCATTGCAGGCAAATGTGTAAACATTTAGTTGTGGCTTGCGTTTCTGCATTTGAATGTCTCAGCAGTTACATGAATGTTAAAGCTTTAAATAAAAGTGAAACCATTAAGAAAAGGCTGATCTCTTTTAGGTTTACAAATACAAGCGCAGAGGTTGTTTCTGGTTAATGATGTCAGAATTTACCTGTATTTTGGAATGGATGTGTGAATGGTCTGTTCTGGAAGAGTTTTGTAACGTGCATGTGCGAACACCTTTTTTAATGAATTTACTGATAAAGTTGTACCGGAAATTTTCCGGATATTTACTGCCATCACTATTTGAAAGGGGCTATTGTCTCCACAATAATCTTATACTAAGGAACTGTTGAATGCTTGATTCTGATTAGCGGATGGACATTGTAAAATAAACAAAACAGTTGAAGTAGTTCCAGGCAGATTTTGGGGTCTATCACATCGAACGCACTTTTGAAGATAGAGTAGACACTAGTGGTTGCTGTTTTGAGTTAGCTGGAGCAGTATGACTTAACAAACCTTGAATATCACCATATTAATAAATATTAAAATTATACCAATATCAACAGCAACACTCGCGCACAATAGGTAGCTGATTCAGTTGTTGCCTAGTGACATAAAAAGCACGTAAAAATTTCTTGTCAACAAAAAGGCATTGCAGTTCGCCCCGCGTTTATGGAAAGTAAAAGCATGTTTATTGTGATCGGCCCCGGTTCCATAGACACTACACCAAATAAGCTGTTTGAGGATAAAACCCTGATAAATGTCTTGAAATACAATATCTGAATAACATCTTTAGGAGTAGTTGCTGTTACCATAGTATAAGTGGAATAACTGACAGTCCATTGAATTATTTAACAAATTCACACCGCTGGTGTAATGGCCCCTTGACAAAGGCTGTGTGCATTCATTTTGTAATAAATCAATGGTTTGTCCTCAATATTCTTCAGTTTTTTCAAGCTTAACTAAAACTGAATAACTTACCAAAAGCTTCCAAGCGAAATCGGCAGAGGAATACTGAATCACACCTGACCACATACCAGCCTTCATCATTGTATAGAACAGAATCAATTGTTAGAGACAGGTTTCCAGGCTGGTTCCTTGCATGGACGAGGTTCACTCTGTCCTTAAAGCTGTCTCCTTCTGTGCATGTCTCTTGCACACATTTCAAAACATCCAGATCTTCATTTTCAGTCTTAAATGTCCACGTGAGAATTCCATTACATGTGCCACTACAAGTGAGAACTGCAGTATCCTTCACTTGTACTGCAACATGGAACAGTGTACTTGGAAATGTACCTAGCAGAAAAGTAAGAAAATAACCTTTAGAGGTACATACTTAATTAAAACAAATAAAAATGGATAAAAACAACTACAAAATTTCCTTTTTTTAATCTTATATATACACATAAACCACACACACACACACACACACACACATATATATATATATATATATATATATATATATATATATACAAACAAGCATAAAAGGGGCAAACCGATTTTCACATTATATATATATATATATATATATATATATATATATATATAGTGTGAAAATCAGTTTGCCCCCTTTTATGCTTGTTTGTCACATTAAAATGTTTTAGATCATCCAACGAACTCAAATATTAGTTCAATCTACATCTTACCAAACATGACTGAAAACCAGAACCAGAACTCTGATGTGCTCCATGTGGTTCCAAATGGTCTCATAGTTGGTGTGGCTGCCTGGAAAATTTAGGGCAGAGGCTTCAAATGTAGACAAATATACAAAAAAAATATGTAACATAAGTCTGACATTTTTGTTTCTTCCACACTTCATAAAAAGTATTTTAAGGGTCCAGATTTAAAAACAAAGATAATGCTAAATAACACACACAAATTATTTGGTTTAAAATGCACCTGCTTGTTCTTTTTAACACTGCATATAGGGGCAGTTGTGGCCTAATGATCAGTGAGTTTGACTTGTAACCTGGTGCCAAAGGCAGGCACACTCTCTTTGATACCCAGCTGAGGTGCGCTTGAGCAAGGCACCTAAACCCTAATTGCTCTCCAGGCACTGGAGGCAATAACTGCAAAGTGCTCCCGATGTATGCTATACTGTGTGTGTGTGTGTGTGTGTGTGTGTGTGTAAACTGATTATAAAACTGGTCCTCTTTATACGCAAACCATACCACCAAACCACCAAGGGACACCCCTTGCTCTTAAATGTGAATCTGTTCTGTGCAATCATTTTATTTAGGCATAAAAACATTAATATAAAAATAAATATAATATAAAAATGACAGGATTCCAGAATATATAAATGACAGAATATAAATATATACAAATATATATATAAAGATTTTCAGAAAAGGTAAAAAAAAAATGTGTGAATAATATCGGCAGCCAGAATAGAGATTGTCAAATTTAGACTTTTTTTTTCCTACCCAGGCTCTGCAGGTAGCAATGAACGTCAAATTTAGACTTGGTGCAGATGCACCATCTAAGCAGCATCCAATGCTTATTTATGCGCCAACCTCAAACCCTCCCCCTAACCGTGACGTCATTAGCTTCATTGAGTGCATTGTTTTACATTGCACCTCTGAGTGATGCAATCTTAGCTGGCATCAAAGGCTGCATCCAGAAAGTATTGGCAAATTTACTCTCCTTCATTATTCATTGACGCTGCATTAGAAAAGCTTCGCATAATCGGCAATTCGTTTTCTTAAATGGGTTCAAAGATAAAATATATATATATATATATATATATATATATATATATATATATATATATATATATACACATAAATATATATAATTATATGTTTCATGTTTTTTGAGTGAAAATCTTAAAAATGTTCAAGGACTTAAGATGCTGATGACCGTTAAAAGGGTACAAACGGGTTTCATGCGCAAGGAAGACAGATGTGGACAGTGTCGACAAAGGTGACCTTGGGTACTTTATTTATGACCTAACGTATATTTTACAGTCTATGTTTATGACGCAGTAGATAACGAGCACTCGTCCAAGAAACTTAATAAAGTTAATAAAAGTTAATAAAGTGCTCAGTAAAATTGCGAAATGTCACAAATACCCTAACCCATCTGGCTTTTACACACCTGTTGTTTTCTAGTTGATGTCCTCCAAGAAGGTCATACAAATCTCAATAATTTAGAATCGCGGCTAACTTTGACTAAATGTAAGAAATGTACTGTCTTATCGCTGTGACAACTGTAAGACACCAACTGATAAATTTTAAATCTATTAAAATCTAAAATCCTCCAGATAACTTCCTTTAAACTGCAAAGCATTTCTTAGTAACCAGAAGAAGGCGGAGTCTTTAGGAGAATGAAGCATGAAAGTTTCAAGAAAGCCTGTTGACATCAAAATAAAAGTCTTTTTGGTGTCTTTTAAAGGATAGTTAACCCCAAACCGAATTTTTACTCACCCTTTGGCGGTTCCAAGTCCATTGTTTTTTTTTTCCTGTTTCTTAAATTATTGTACAAAAAACTCCAAAGAAGCTCTATTGAGGGATATGAGTAACCGTCTCTGACAGTAAAAAAAATACTATGGAAGTCAAATGCTACTAAAATTCTTTAAAATATCTTCTTTTGAGTTTAATAGTTAAACAGACAAACTTGGAACAAGTGGATAGAGAAAAACATGACAGAATTAAAATTTTGGATAGACTAACGTTATAGCTTTATGCAAACTGACACAAAACTCTTTTATTGGTGTAAAAGTAATCATCTGACCTCCCTTGAAATTAATAGCCTAAATATCAGGACCTTTATCATGTGTTTCTATAATATCAAAGGAAAAGTGTTTGATTTTTGTGTCTTTACAACTGTGCAAGCCTATATTTTATTGGTAATAAAATCAATTTTCATCAATCAAGTTACAAGTCAATGAAGCTAAATATAAATCTAACGAGGGCTCAAAATGTTTTGTACTTTTGACCACTCAGCGAGATGAAAACGTATAACATTAGATTAGATTGCTTTAAGCAAGCACTTATATGATTGAATGCATTTGATCAGGCATGTTAGATCATACGATCCATGCCAGATAAATTAGATCTAGCCACGGACTCTTGATCCTGTCAGAAAATGCATGTTTCTCTGGGTATCCAGACAACAATCCAGCGGAACCACCCAATACCCAAACCTGCTAACCAGTATTCAACTAAATTGACAGTCTCCTATCAATATAGGAGTTGACAGAGAAAGCCGGAGAGGAGCAGAAGCAGAAGACTATCAAGTAATGATGATAAAGACTAGTTTATGGAATAATTTTAGTTGAATTCAGTATAGTTCAAACTTAGTCTGACCATGATAAATCTAACAAGTGTAATTATACCACAAGCAGCAGCAAAGGGAAATTAACAGGTAACAAAAATTTATGGAAAATTAATAGAAATCAACACACACAAGTTTGCTACAAGTATTCTCGGATCCCTAGTTAGATTCTTCATAAATATCAATAAATAAATTGAAATGTTTTAGGTGCTTCTACGTTTCTAAGCAAAGGTTTATGAATAAGACCACAGATACGGAAGACATTGGCTAAAGTAGTTTAATTTTTAAAGGTTTTTTTTGGCACACAAAAAAAAAGTGTTCAGGGAGCTTTGTAAGATTACAGTTGAACCACTGCAGTCGCATGGACTGTTTGGACAATGTTTTTGGTTGTTTTTCTGGACTTTGTATGTATGGGTCCGGGATCATTGCTGTCTATGAAAGATGAGAGCGCTCCAGGGCCCGTTTTTTTTTTTTTTTAAAGTAATCCACTAGGATTTTGGATAAGGGATTGGATCAAATCTTGAAAATGGGTTTTTCAAAAGAAAAAACTGATTACCTAATCGGATTAGATCAGGTAATCTAAACTTGGTTTTGATCCGGATCAAACCTTTACTTTGGGTTTTTCAGACCTTTTTTTGTAGGATTTGGATCACTTTGATCCAAAAAACCTGGATTAAACTTATCCCATCAGAAGGGTGGATTTAGTGTGGATTTCATGACCAAAATGTAATGAAAACTTAAAAATTTTATTAAATAATACTACTTTTGGATCATGCAGTATCTTACGAGATATACTATTTATTCATAAGGTTTTAATTTTATTTGTTCATCTGTCAGGCTACAGTGATTATTGGCTTTAACGTTTTCAGCCTTTCAGTATAGGCCTACAGCAAAGTAGAAATAGCTTGGCCTCATAAAATAATCCTCCAAAAATTGACCAAAAACAATACATTTTATTCTCTCAATAATTGATATTCATCACAATGGAAAATATTTTTGTTTTTAGAATATTTATTAGTGATGCATGCAATAATTACAGAATAACCAAAAAAAAATGCAAAGAATGGCAATCCCTGATTTTAGAAATCTTTTTCAATAATTGCAAAAAGAGACTGAAAGAGCAGAAGCACAGCTTCATCTGGCAGAGGAACTGACTCTGACCAAACTGCAGCAAACCAAGGCCAATGACTTGAGATCTGCCTCCTAAAGGCTGCGCTCAGACAAGCTGCTCTCTCCACATCAGATGAGGAAGTCTGAAATTATTGAGGAGTTTTTGACATTAAGTCTTTTTTTTATTTACATCTATATTTGAAACTTATTATAAAAACCTCAAATGTATAGTGTTGTAGGTCTCAGATGAGCGGACTGCTGGAAGAGGATGGGATGGGTTTTTTCTTGTTTTTATTATTTATTATTATTATTATTATTATTATTTTATTATTTATTACATTTTCTTTGTTTTCATTTCAAATAAAAATAAAGTTATATTGACCCCACACTGGCTATTATATTTGTTGCTCTTTACATAGGCCTATCTATACATTGTGATTGAGCACTGGTAATCCAGATTTAGTGATCCTGAAAAGTTCCTATTCGGATCAGATTGATCCAATCCGATGTTGCTTTAAAAAACTGGCTCAAAAAATAAGCTGGATTACATGATCACGGATCGCAAAAACAGGATTACTAAATCCAGATCAATTTGATCCGGATTAAACCTTTTGAAAAACCGGGCCCTGGATGTCAAGATTAACAGAGGTCTCATGGAATTTGAATAAATAACTAGTAATTAATAAAAGAATTCTTCATTTTTGGGTGAACTAATAAGTTTGTTTTTCAAGCATACATTAATCATGGAATTGGGGCAGTTTTACTTGAAAAAAAAACAACCATTTAGATAAATGTGTCAAAAGTTAAATCACAAGGGTTATTTTATTTTGATTATTTGAAATTATTTTAAGTAAAACCATAAAATCCTCCTCATTATACTCATAAAACTTCCTGTCACATCGTTAATTCCTCAATGTTGTCTTTGCCTTTGCTCGTCTTCATGTGCACCAGAGAAACAGCCAGTGACATTCCCAGCAGGCCAAAACACAGAGTTGCTGCAAATACTTGATAATGCATAGACAATCCTTCACCGCCTGATTTACAGGAAACAGAAGTAAAGTTCAGATCAGAGAGTGTGTTCCTAAAATAATACTTTCACATCAAAAGCAGAGATGCAAGTAAGGCCATAAATGGGTGTTAAATGCAGAGTGGGAAATTTTCTTACCTTGCACTTGATCAGAAGGTCTTTTTGTAAGGAGCTGGTTTGCTAAAACAGACCAAAAATAAAATACTTTCTGATGAGATTTCTTATATATTTAAAAAATAAAAAGTCATAAAGAGCATAAAATGACATTTATTCAATATAACAAAAAAGTGCCACATTTATAATTTTTTACACAACAAAATACCAATGTTTAAATCTATTTGGTTTCTGTTTATTCATTTACTATATTATGTATGTGTTTATTATGTGCGAGTAAAATGTTAATATGTTTTTGTTCTATAAAGATCAAATAACATTTCATCCAAATTTTTAAATAAAATCCTCAAAATGAATATATTAATAACTTAAAATTGGAATCAAATGTTATCTGATTTTGGTAGAATAAAATTACTATTATCATTTTACTCAAACATACACACACACACACACACACACTAATAAATTAAGCATACCCAGAGAAACCAGATGAATTTTTAAGTGGTATCTTTTTTTTTTTCTCAACACTTATTACGAAATAAAATGGCCACACTTACTGTAAAGTTGGACTCCTTCATCAAAATCCATGTGTTTTTGATATATCGTTGCACAGTAGTACGCTACAAGATCACGATTGGACACATTAAGAATTCTCAATCCAGTCATCTGGTTTTCCATAAATCCCTCAAATTGAGTTTCATTGTAATTCCAAACAACAGCCAACTGTCCATTATATTTCAGACTTGTAACCATTAGAGCCACAGGGCGGCCCTCACTCATCTTCAGCCAGTGGACTTCATTGTAGAAAGAGCGGTTACACGTTAACTCCACACGTTCACCAAGTTTAACCTCCTTCAACTGTGCTGCCTCCAATTGCCTCAAGGGCAAAATGACGAGAACTGAAAGAGAAGAAACTTTTAATCTTTTTTTTTATTAGAAACAGATTTGCAGTAGTTTTAAAACTCACCTGTTAGAGAGGTTAAGCATGATAACATCCTTGTTGATGTCATAGTCCAGTGTCTGTTTTCTAAAAGACTACAAGATTTCCTGTCAAAGGAAGTAAAACCACACGCTCAGCCCACTACCACTTTGTTGGTTTTGTTTCCATTTGTTGTGTTTTTGGTATGGTGTCTGAAATTGTCAATCAATCAGTACTTTCCAGTTTAAAGTAAACTAGAGAGTGAACAAGTCATTGTTAACAAAATTGTGATTTTTTTTTTTTAATTAAAGCAGTCATACCTCAGTCATGTCAATTACATTATGTAGCTACCTTTTGTCATCATTCTTCCTTTTAATGTTAGTTGCTGAACTGGGATTAGTTTTGTTTCTGACTGAATTCGATGTCAGACAATTTAGACACCAAACTCTGTTCTGATTAAATGCTCTTTAGCATGAAGGAAGTAGGTTTTCTCACCTTCTATAACAGTTTTGATATAAAAGCCACAACCTACACACATTACTGGACTTCAGACAAACACAAAAAAGACACCTAAACATTTTTTCCACTGACACTATATTTCACCATTACATTTACTGATGCAGAGGTACCTCTTAAATGTGGCTACTAAAACTGTTTTCAAATGTACTCTCCTAGTTTTCAGTTCTTTCATGTTTGTTAGTTTTTAACTAGTTTCCTTTTGAAAATCTTTAAGCTTGTTTCAGTTTTCTGAAAATATCTCCCACAACGTTACACCCTCAGCCTGAACCGTTGATACAAGGCAGAATGGATCCATGCTTTTATGTTGTTGATGCCAAATTCTGACCCTACCATCTGAATGTTGCAGCA